GCATTTTCACACACCATGTCTTTACCAGCTTCCGCGGAGAGGATGTCCGTAGAGACTTCTTCAGTCACATTCAGATGGAGTTTCAAAGAAAGGGAATCACTCCGTTTATTGATAATGAGATCAAAAGAGGAGAATCTATCGGTCCCGAGCTCGTTCGAGCGATCAGAGGGTCTAAGATCGCAATTATCTTGCTCTCTAGGAACTACGCTTCTTCAAAATGGTGTCTTGATGAACTGGTGGAGATTATGAAATGTAGACAAGAGTTGGGTCAAACTGTGATGGCTATTTTTTATAAAGTAGATCCATCCGATGTAAAGAAACTGAGTGGAGATTTTGGGAAAGTCTTTAAAAAAACTTGTGCTGGTAGAACAGAAGAAGATATTGGGAGATGGAGACAAGCTTTGGCAAAAGTGGCCACAATTGCTGGTTATCATTCAGACAACTGGTTCGTCCTTTTGATTCCCATTTGTTCTTAAACTATATACATATGTAGCTTCTAGACAATACTCATCCAAGAAATTCATATATTTCTTTAATGTGTGAGAGTTTTCCCATTGTTAATGGATGTATTAATCTTTTTCATTGTTAGGGATAATGAAGCGGCCATGATCAAAAAAATTGCCACTGATATTTCAAACAAGTTGAATTATTCCATATCATCAAGTGATTTCGATTGGTTTGTTGGGATGAGAGCTCATTTGAAAAAGATGGAACCATTGTTATGCTTAGACTCAGATGAAGTGAGAATGATTGGGATTTGGGGTCCTCCTGGGATTGGGAAGACCACAATAGCTAGAGTTGCATTCAACCAACTCTCCAACAGTTTCCAACTGAGTGTCTTTATGGACAATATCAAAGCAAACTGCACAAGACCTTGTTCCGATGACTACAATGCAAAGTTGCAATTACAACAACAATTTATGTCTCAGATAACAAACCATAAGGATATGGAAATTCCTCATCTAGGAGTGGCCCAAGATAGGTTGAAGGACAAGAAAGTTCTTGTTGTTTTCGATGGCGTGGACCAGTCAGTACAACTAGACGCGATGGCGAAAGAGACTTGGTGGTTTGGTCGTGGGAGTCGAATTATCATTACAACACAAGATCATAAACTTTTTAGAGCACATGGGATCAACCATATTTACAAGGTGGATTTTCCACCAGCTGGTGAGGCTCTTCAAATCTTGTGCATGTATGCTTTTGGTCAAAAGTCCCCTAAAGATGGTTTTGAGGAGCTTGCTCGTAAAGTTACAGAACTTGTTGGTAATCTGCCTTTGGGGCTAAGGGTTATGGGCTCTTATTTTCGGGGAATGTCCAAGCAAGAGTGGAGAAAGTCACTACCAAGGTTAAGGACTAGCCTTAACGCTAATATTCAAAGCATTTTGAAGTTCAGCTATGACGCATTAGATGATGAAGATAAAGATTTATTTCTCCATATAGCATGTTTTTTCAACCGTGGAGAGATTAAGAGAGTGGAAGGATATCTTGCGAATAAGTTCTTGGAAGTGAGGCAAAGGTTGAACGTCTTAGCTGACAAATCTCTCATATCTATCAACTCGGGATCATATATAGAGATGCATAGTTTGCTAGAAAAACTAGGTAGAGAAATTGTTCGTAAACAATCTATTCATGAGCCTGGACAACGCCAGTTTTTGGTCGATAGAAGAGAGATTCGTGAAGTACTGACCGGTGATGCTGCAGTAAGTTTTGACACTAAGTCTTTTATTACAATGCTCCCTACAAATCTAATCTATTTGATAACTAAACATCTCTACTTTTTTGCTTCCTTTTTTCAGGGTAGTAAAAGTGTCATAGGCATAAACTACTTATTCGCGGAAAAGTTAGATATAAGTGAGAGAGCCTTTCAAGAAATGTGTAATCTCAAATTCTTAAGAGTCAATGTTTTTCGTGATACATTGCAATTACCGCGAGGTCTGAACTATATACCTCGTAAACTTCAATTATTACATTGGGATTATTTTCCAATGACATGTTTGCCTTCTATTGTGAGCTTGGAGTTCCTTGTCGAACTAATTATGCGTGACAGCAAGCTTGAGAAGTTGTGGGAAGGAACTAAAGTAAGTACTTTGATCAATTTCTCTTTTTTCGAATTTAATCATTTGTCTTTTTTTTTATAATATTTAAGCTTAAAAGTTGTTATTTGAATTAGAAGTTGTGGGAAATGTTTTTATGTTCTTTTAGTGTTATTTTTCTATACAGCCGCTTAGAAATCTTAAGTGGATGGTGTTGAGTTCTTCTGTACACTTGAAGGAGCTTCCTGATCTCTCAACTGCCACTAATCTTCAGGAATTGATTCTGAGGGATTGCTCTAGTCTGGTGAAACTCCCCTCCACTAATGGGTATACCAATAATCTTCAGAAACTGGATCTTCGTAATTGCTCGAGTCTGATCAAACTCCCCACCTCTATTGGGAATGCCAGTAATCTCGAGATATTGTATCTCGGTGGATGCTCAAGTCTTGTGAAGTTTCGTGCTTTCATTGGGAATGCCATTAATCTCAAAAGCTTGGATCTTAGTAGTTTCTCAAATCTGGTGAAGCTCCGTTCTTCTATTGGGAATGCCACCAATCTGCGGGAATTAAATCTTCGTAATTGCTCAAGTCTGGTCAAAATCCCCTCCTCTATTGGGAATGCGACTAATCTCAAAAAATTAAATCTTGGTGGATGCTCAAGTCTTGCGGAGTTTCCCTCTTTCATTGGGAATGCCGTTAATCTCCAAAGTTTGGATCTTAGTAGTTTCTCGAATCTGGTGAAGCTCCCTTCCAATATTGGGAATGCTACCAATCTAGAGGAATTGGACCTTAGTTATTGCTCAAATATGGTCGAGTTTCCTCTCTCTATTGGAAAACTTCAGAAGTTGGAGAAGTTGATATTAAAAGGATGCTTTAAGCTAGAGGTTCTTCCCACCAACATCAACTTGGAATCTTTACTTGAGCTTGATCTCACTAATTGCTCGATGTTGAAAAGTTTTCCTGAGATCTCCACAAACGTTAACGTTCTCAAGCTCAGTGGAGTCGCAATAGAAGAAGTGCCTCCCTCGATCAAGTTATGGCCTCGTCTTAATGAGTTGCATATGTCATACTTTGGAAATCTCAAGGGAATTCATCATGCTCTTGACATCATCACATTGCTGTACTTGAGCGATGCAGAAATAAAAGAGGTTCCTCCATGGGTCAAGAGAATCTCTCGTCTTAAGCTACTCTGGCTCAAGAGATGCAGAAAGCTTGTATCACTTTCACAAATTCCGGATTCCTTATCAGTGATCAATGCAAAAGGTTGTAAGTCCCTGAAGAGACTAGGTTGCTCCTTTCAGAATCCAAACATCAGTCTCAACTTTGCTAAATGCTTCAAACTGAATCAAGAAGCGAGAGACATCATCATCCAGGCACCGAATAGCGAATATGCGGTCTTACCCGGTAGAGAAGTGCCTGCATACTTCACACACCGAGCTACGAGTGGGGATTCATTGATAATTAAGTTGAATCAGAGGCCTCTACCTACATCTATGAGATTTAAGGCTTGCATCTTGCTGGTTAATAAAGGTGAAGATGAGGCTTTTGATGATGAGGATGGTTTAGACCATTGTTTTATTGTTACGTGTAGAAAAAGCCCGCGTTTTCTATATCCAGTTTTAACAGAGCATCTGTACACATTCGAAGTTGAAGTGGAGGTGACTTCCAGCGAGCTAGTCTTGGAGTTCGAGGGCAGTAACCGTGACAATTGGAAGATAGGAGAATGCGGGGTACTTCAACTCTCGTAAGTCCCTTCAACTCTATTGGGAATGTGCAGTACGTTCTTCTGAAAGAGAGTTCAAAATGTTGATGACTGCATCAGATGCTTCAGCCCAGAACGCATCCCAAAGGTAATACAATGCCGACTTTACTCTCAATTTCTTAAAGTTGTTGACAAATAGTCGAATGTTCTGAGTATGTGTAATCCTTTCCTCAACAAATTGGCTGTGTGAATCTCAACATAGGTGAGGAGATCAATGTGTCATAAAAAACGTACTGAATGAGAGAGCAACTGAAGAACCGGATAGGATCCCAGAAGATCAGCCTAGATGAGGTGAATGGTAAATGCTATGTCACTCGAGCCGATTTGCAGATGTTTTGGTACACTAATGAAGTAACACTTAGTATTGAAGAGCCTGAAGAAGATTTGGTATTTGTTCTTGGTCCATTGTCATGTTGTAGTTTGTTAGACCGTTATGTCTTCCAACATCTAACAAGCAGAGAACAAACAAAAAAAAGGTTTCGTTTCGTCTCTAACATTTCTTTGTTATTGGAACTCTAGTTTTTCGTGTTGGGGTGCTCAAAACAATATTTAAGACAAGTCTTGTTCAGTCGACAAAAAGAGAGATTTGTTTAGTTCTGTAAAGGATCTCTTTGGCTCAAAATTACAAATCCTAAGACAATATATCAAGTAATAACTCAAAAATATGAGATGAAGAGGTAAAGCTTCTTTCTCTACTCTTCTCACTCATTAGCTTTATATCTCCCCCATCAAGGTATCATCTGAAAGTAAAACCATACACAAGATTTAGACGTAGACCACAAACATATATGCGAAAAAGAATTAAACAAAAATCATTACCTTTATCTTTTCCATCGTCACTGCTCAAGTCAGATTCATAATCATTCTCAGCATAGACATGCTCTTCTACATCTTCTTGCTCATCTTCATTTTCATCAATCTCTTGATCATGAACTGTTGTTTGAGTTTGATTCCCTGCAGCTTTATTGATCTGCCATAAAATAAAGCTTGTATTGAAACTAAATACCCATATATGGTCAAAACCGGTCGATAATAAACTTAAGAAGATGATTGATATGTAACCTGAGCTGTAACAAGTTGTAAGCGTCCAGACAACTGTAGTAACTGTTGAAGAGCCGTTCCCCGGGGCTTGGTAATCTGGAAGAACAACAGTACAACATACTTTTCAACTAAGCAAGTTTTACAGAAGTAACAAAATCCTTGGCTCTACTCTTATCTCTTACCTTAAGCAGTGTATCAAGTAGCTGGTGGTTTTTTGGTTCTTGGGACATGATGTAATGACTATGATTCACCATTATGCTGTATATCCATGGAAGAAGACACTTCCCACCACATCCCCTGTTTATAAAAATGCAACTGTATTAATACCAAAGCACCAAACATGGAGTGAATCATTATCATAACCCAAGAATAAAGAATTAAAACGATAGTTTAGTAGAGAAGAGAAAAACATTTGGGGTTTGAGCGTCAACTTATTTACCAATGGTAAGAAATTCAATAGTAAGCAGCAATGGGACAACATCGTATAGCAAACAAGAAAAGCAGAGAACCAACCTTGTTTGCCACATAAGAACCAGAGCTTCTAGAGTCTTGAACGCAGTGGAGGGTGCCATTGACAAAACAGCAGTCTTTAACTGCCAATACAAAAATTTATAAGCCTACTATGATTGGTATATTCAAAGAAAAATCTCAGGAAATCTCTACAGAAATGCGCCAGAAGGATGTAGAAATGCCAACGAACCGATGAACCAGAAAGCAAGTAATACCTTCTTTGGTGGTAGATAAGCTTCAAGATCAATTCCTTCAACTACTGAAGCATAGGAAAGATTGCTTTGTTCATTTGTACCTTTAAGTATTCCTAACGATCTCAACTTATCCTCCATGCTAAATGTTTCTACATGATCTGAAATTTCAAAATAAAAAAGAATGAACAAAAAGGCCAAAGCAGTTCTTGCACCACAGCATCTGTATACGTATTACTAAAAGAGCCAAAACAATAAAGCGATCTCCATCAGTACCGTGATGTAAAACTCACCCGCTTGACTTTGGTCAACCATGTCAGTATCCTTATCAGATGAGTGTGGTTGTAAACGCTTTTTCTCGTGCAGATCAGCAACTCTTGCAATTGGCAGCAAAGCATCCTCCGCATGTGTACGGTCTAATGTTGTAACTATACAATTATAAAATCATAGTCAGGCATTGTTATTGACAGGAAAGGAAGGGAAATGGAAACTGCAATCTACAAAGCAGTATCATGGATAACTAATCCTCCATAGTGAGAAGATACAACAGGATTTAACATATAACATCCTGTAATTCCATATGTCAAAAATGAGCTTCACATGATAAGGAAAGTTATCGAGTCTACTTAAACATGACGTGGTTATCGATAACCAGCTGGCACTAATGAGAATCTTAATAGTCAATGTGATGTTTGCACACAATGATAAAATTAATAATCACGGTATAATCAATTTGCTGAAGGAAGTTTTATGATTTAGTAAAGGGTAGAGCCCATAGAAGATACCTTTATTCTGCACGCCTTGCCCCTTCTTAGACTTTGATTCTGACTGAGTGATGGGGAGAAGGATCCCATTCTTAGAGGCATTCAACACCAAGTCGGTGCCAAACTGCAACACCATTTTCTGGAATGATGGTTTCACTAGCAATCCGGACGCAATGAATGCATTCACAGAACCAGGCTTCAAAATGCCTTGTAATTTTGCAGCAAAGATAATAGGCAGTGAGCCCTTGTGATGTTTAAGTGCAAAATCTTCAGCTGCTAATGCGACTTTTGTAGGTTTTGCATTGCCTAGCTCCTCAACATTTGACCCATACCAAAAATAACAGACACCTATTTCTGAAATTGCCAAAACGTATAACCCTTTTCCCTCTGTTTCTCCCCAACTATCTACAAAGACGGGAGGGTGCTCTAGTGCAAGGACACAGCTAGCTGACTGCTTTTTAGCACCATCTGTTTTCCACACAGCAATGTATCTTTCACCAACAGCAGAAGAAAGGATGAATTTCCCATCCTCGGTAAAAGCCACACAGCGAACACCTCCCTATATAGCATAAAAAAATGTAAACAACCCTCTAATGTGCGAAATGGAGGCAGAATCCAAGCAATAAAACATGGTAGAGAAATAATGTCGGTAAACAGAAGTACTCACCGGATGACCAGTAAACTTCTGTATTTTCTTAAGATCAGAGCACTTAAAAGTCTTCAACTGAGCAGATGCAGTGGCTAATGTTTTTCCATCTACAATTGGGAGGGAAACAACCAAACATCAGTAGCAGGTAAGTTCATGTCCTAGTCTAAGCATGTTAACAGAAATGTCCCCGCATTACTTTATTGTGGCTTTTTTTTTAAGACTATTCAAAACATATGTGAAGAAACCAGTTTCTCTTAAGCTCAGACAAACCTGGTGAAACTGATAATGAAGAAACAGCCTTTGCTGAAGCTTTAAACTTTCTGATCAGATTTCCACTATGGGGATCAATTTCACAAACCATTCCATCTGCACCACCACTGTATATGAAAGAAGCCTTTGTTGAAGATGATACAGCATTGACGCCACTGCACAAGACAGAAAACACATTGATAACTGTCCAAACTCTGCTACTGATACGAAATTCAAGGACCTTCAAAACAGAAAACTTCACAAAGAATCGTAAAGACAACAACTACCTATCGCATAATCAAATGATAGAATGCCAAGTTTACATATCTATCAGTTGCTTAACTGATACAACCCAACAACAGAAAAGCAAAGAAGAAGTCAGTGAGAGTTTGTTACTCACCCGGGATGACAGTCACTAATTCTCCATTTGAGCTGACCAGAAGCCACGTCTAGTGCTAAGACATCTCCTCCACCTGTTCCTAATACCAACAAGGAAGTTCCAAGTTTCCTCTTCTTCTGCAAATAGCAAGAATAAAGATTTTGTCAACAAAAACAATGAATCTACAAACTATTTCTCCAAAGCCAGACTCTTTACCTTTTTCTCTAAAGCCAACCATTTCATGCAAGTATAATCAACCGAGAGGTGACCTTTCCCAACTTTGGTATATATGTTTGTCTCTTCTGCAGATGCAAGATCAGCGAACTCTGTTTGGACCTGACCCTTTACAGTATCCCAAATCTACACAAAGTCAACAGAAATTACATTAATTCAAAAACAAAAAAAAATCTTCACTTTGAACAAAACTGAGCAGGACCAAGAAAACCATGTAAGAAGGAAAGTAAACATACCTTGATACGACCATCTCCGGTGCTAAGAGCAAGATAATCTAATGCTGGACTGAAAGAAGTCAAAACATCTCTTATGTTCACCAAATTCATCTTTCCCTGAAGCAAACAATCAATTACATGAAAATATATTCCGATTTTGAAAAAATAGAACTTTCAGTTTCTAAATTATCAAATCCATAAAGGAATGAGAAATTAAGTGTCTGTAAAAGAGAAATTTCCACAGAATTCCATCGAAGAAATGACAAACCCAATCTAATGAGCTTAGAGAGTAACGAGGAACAAGCAACTAACCAGTTCACACAGAACAGAACAAGCGAGGAAGAAGGAGAAAGAAGCGAATGTCAACTATCTTCAGTTTCTCGACGAGAGTTAATCAGTAGGCGGAAGAGAAGAGAAAAGAAAGGGATTAGGGTTTTTGAGAGGTTTCTCTGTTCTCTGGAGTTCGAAACGGCGAACGGGAACTAATCAACCGTAATTTTTAACAAGCCGACAAAAAGTAAAAGTTATGTTCGGGAAAGAAAAAAATAGAGGCAAATTATGGGCCTTAAATAGATTGGGCTTATTCGATAAAACCCAAATTATTCGACCAATTTGATCTTCTTCTTTCGTTTTTGTTTGGAGATTAGTATATATGTAAAGATGTATTTTTTTTTTTTTGATTTTTGATAAAAGAAGATGTATTATTCTTGTCATGTGTTGAGAACATTAGCCAGCATATATAGATTCTGTTATCTTTTTTTGTTTTTGTTGATAAGATGTGTTGGTCTTATTATTATCATGTGTTGATATAATATTGACACTTTGGCTTCATAAGGACGATAAGCATTTCTCTTCACGTGGAGAGAATCACTAATGTTATATTGTTATGGTTAACCGAGTCTCTCAAATCGGTTTGGAATAAAAATAAAATTAGGGTTAATTAAAATTTTGGAATCAAGTGTTGGAATATATATACTATAAAAGATGAGTTTAGTGTGTTGTTTGATTGACACGTGTCCTCAATTTTTTTAAAGGAAAAAAAAAACAAAGAGAAAAACAAAGGGTTACGATCTTTTGGCCAAAAGTTGTATGCTTTGGAAGATGCATGTATTCTAGAATTTTTAGGTTTTAAACAAAATTCTCTCGGCTTCCATATATCTTCTCAATTTAATTTTGTTGACTCCAGACAAAAAAAATCAATATATGGAACAATGATGAAGATTCAATCTCTCCCAAATTAGGCAGCATGAATCTTACCAATTTTTTTTTCCTTTCCAGGGCAATTATTTTATTCTGATTTTTTATCAGATGGGTTTGTTGTTTGAGTTCAACGACCCAAATATTTGGTTAGTTGTTGACCAACCAATGTAAAAAGGTACATTTCAAATTAATTTCTAGAAGATTTTATTACTTAACAATTTAACAGTATATCTGGGTTATGGACTTATATATGGTGATTGTGAAGATGTTGCAAAAAGTAATATTTAAATATCCAAGAAGACCGAGAGGAGAACGATCTATCAACTTGGTTTATTGGAGACGAAAAGCCAACGAGTAAAGGTATACGAAGCTTATATAGATCCGAGCCATCTGAAGTGCAAAACCATTTTTGGCTCACCGAATTATCCAAGACGAAAGACGAGAATTTGTTCGAGTAATCAAATTTCTTATACTTTTTTGTAAACTTGATAGAACGAATAAACTTTTTATAAATATTCTTGGCAGTGGAGAAGGAAATATTCAAAATGAATGTGCG